GGCCCGCCTGGCAGCGCCCTGCTGCCCGAAAGCAACATGGCCGCCGAGGCTTCGCCACACCAGCCGCCTGCCTTTTGCGGCCATCTTGAGTGAGGGAGGGGGCGGGCCGGGAGCAGGCAGCCATCTTGGGCGCGGGCAGCGGGCGGGCTTAACCCCGTGAGGAGAGGCGCAGCCTCTGAAAAGCCCTAAAAACTCCTCATTTGCAGGCAGGGGTCAGTTTTACCCTGTTACTTGGCGCGCCTCCCGCTACGCCGTTATTTTCCCTCAAGAAATCCCCCTCAAGCAGAGGCCCGCGGTCAGGAACAGCACAGGGTGCCAGGCCTTGCTTGTGCCTGCTCCCACAGGTGTATTTCGTGGAGGGTACCCACCTCAGGCAGAAGAAAATGTCGGGTCTTCATCATGCAGGTTGTGCCAGAAGGGCTTTTCCTGTGGGAAAGCGAGCTGGCCTCGCTCCAGGTCAGGGTTCAGGGCCCCAGACCTCAAACCCCACCCAAGCTGAGTTACCAGGGCTCGCGTGCTGCATGGAACTGGCTCACTACATCGCCAGGCCAGGCAGCAGTAAAATTCACAATTTCTGTGGAGAGACTTCTGTTTTTCCCAATGATCCATCCACATCTTCACTAAGAAAAGTTGATTGGGGAAAAAAAAAAAAGAAATCCATGAATTTTCGTAGCTGGTGCTTAGCTGTTGCCACAAAACCAAAAAAAATTTCCAGGTCGATACAATCAATTTTCACATTTGCGAAGCGCAGCGTTTAATCAGGTTGAATTGCTCCTGTTGCCGATGGCTGTCTATGGGGGTTTCTTCCCCAGGCACAATAAATGTCTTCACTCATCTTAAGCCCAGTTTGCTCTGCCAGCTAGATCCAACTCCTCACCGTCTCCCAGTATGGATACTGGCGGATTATTTCAAGCATTAAGAGAAAGGTTATAAGAACTAAAGGGTCTGAACTTTGGGGGGGTAAATCTGGGCTTAGGAGAAGCACAAATGGGGTCTCACACCTCCCAGAACCACTGTTCTTGCAGGACGAGCCACCGTTCCTCACCGGTGACCCCATATTGCTGCCATTCATCACATGAAATGGTTTTAAACGGCCGACAAATGGGGCAAGTCACGCTGTGGGCTGCCAAGTACTTAAACACGCAAATCTTGTTTGCAAGACAAATTGGAGATCAATTCCTCTTTGGAAGCATTTTTTACTTAAGCGCACGTTTTAATCTTCAAATTTTAACAGCTTGTAAAAATGGTGGATGATGACTGTAATTCCTCAAGGTAACGTAAAATAAATTCCTCCATTAAAAATACTGGGAAGAGGCAGACATCACTGCAAGTTACTACGCTATTTACCTTTCTTTTCTATACTTCCATCACACAAGATTGATCCTATAGTTAGCAGGCTGCTGGCCAGGTATTAGGAAATGTTTACACATTCATGTGAAGACAAGACTACCATAGGAAAGACAGAATAAAAATACTTAGAATGAAAAGAACTAGTGCAAATTTGACATGCTTAGACTCGCCCAGGCCAAGAGGCAAATCTCGCCTGACAGATAGCTCCCACCGAGGAGTGCGTGCTTCCAGCATGAATTTGGTTTTCAACCCTGATTATTTTGTTTGTATTCGGGGAATGTTTCTATTGTCAAGGCGCAGCTCTAGGGGTGGAGAAGAACGAGCAGCAATATGAGTGATCCATGCTAAAATGTCAGGATAATATTCCTGTATCTTAGCACGAGGGAATGGTGTTTGCTTTTACTTTATCGGAAACCTGGTCTGCTCAACAGTTCTCACCCAGAGGAGTTGGGAGAGAAGATGAAGTGCAGGCTCCTGTCCAATTTAGTCTGGCTTTCATAAGGATTGAGTGAATTGCTGCAGAAGCTGGCAGCACCAGGTCCTGCCAGCGTGTCAATCTTTGTGGGGCTATCCATGAGGGATTCTCCCAATGCTCCGCCAGTGGCTGCATGACTCCAGGCTGGATTTCACACTACCCTCTGCCACCGGTCTTATTTCGCAGGCCGGAGGAGATGAACTTGATTCTCCAAACATCCCAGGTGCTCAGCTTTGGGGGCAAACGCTACCCCGTGGCTTCCTAGAGCATAAGATTGAACCCTGTCTCCCTCATCCCCGATGAATTGTGTCCTGATTGCTTGGGAGAGAGGGAGGGAAGGGTGTCTTATTCATGCTCTCTGCATCATTAATTCTTTTCCACACAGTTTCAACAGGAGGGATGCAAGGCTTGGGAGGCGGCCCAGAGGCATCTGAATGCTCTTGGGTTGAGGAAGATGCTGAACCCGGGTGCCCCACGCGTGAGGCAAGAGCTGCAGACACAGGGCTGTTGTAATAAAACAGGACGCCACAACCCATTTTTCCCTTTAAGCCAAAACACAACAAAGTCCAGGAAAGAATTACAGCCTGGGAACCCAGATTTTATCAGAGTACTTCCTTCACTTGGGAGCGAAGGCTTTGGTCATGGTGACTAAGACCAGGAAAAGGGGAGAAGTTGGGGAACATTTCTGCCAGCCAGGTCACTCTGCTGTGAATACAAGTTCTGCTCCTGCAGCACTGAACAGTCGGAAATTTGCAGGCGTTTGCCCAAGGTCAGCTGGGACATCTGCAGCAAAGCAAGGAATGGAAACGTAATTCCCAAATACCAGGCTGATTGCTGGGGCTGCCTCTTCCTCTCTGGAGCACAGGGGGTAGCTCCCCATACGCAACATCACCTGGTCGGCATCAGGGCGTTGGCCATTTTGGCTCTTCTCAGTTGCGTTGCACTCAGATGAGTGCACTCAGATGAGTGAAACTGGGGTACGTTTTTAGAAGCCCCAAACCCTTCCCTGGCAATGCAAGATGAAACCTCATGGTGCCCGTCTCTCCTCTGGATAGAATCATAGAATCGTTTAGGCTGGAAAAGACCTTTAAGATCAAGTCCAACTGTTAAGCTAACATCCTTTCCTTGGGGCTCCGCCAGAGGATGCTGCAAGACTTTAGAAAGAGCAGCCCAGCTCATCCTTTGCAGGCTCCAGAAATCAGCGTCCAGTTGCTCGCTGATGTAACCTTGGCCTCCTCACGTGCAACGAAACGATTTTAATGCGCTTGCAATCAGAGAAGCTAACCCTGCAGCTTTGCCAGGGAGAAAGGAAAAAGACCAGTTAAATAGTTAAGGAGCCTGGAAAAATATAGAATAAATAGAAAATATTCTAGGAAGGACAGAAAAAGGCTCATTTAAGCAGTTTCCCTGGTGCATAAATTCATCCCCCATGCTGTTCAAGTGACTGTCACATCGGGAGGAATCCGACCACAAGGTCCGCAGAGCCTTTGAGGAGGAGAGGGCTTCAAAACGCATTTTTCCCAAGTTTGGAGCTGATGAAACTGAAGCTCTCCTGAATAGGAGCCAAGCCACCACTCAGTAAACCTTACTGTTGTCCCCAAAACAGAGACAGAGCTTTCAGCATAGTCTAAAAATGCAAATTCCAGACGAAATCCTAATGAAAAACAAACAGCAGGCTCTTGGTCTATATGTCAGTGGCGCGTACTGGTTAGCCTCTAATGCTATTCTGCATAATACACTTTGGCATACGATTTCACTACAAATCAAACATACCACATATACTCCCTCTTATGCTGCTTATGTATTAAGTCTCAAGAAGCAGGAGTTTTATATATTCTGGCAAAAAAATCCCAAGATCTTGGCGTCACTTGAAAAAACACACGGATTGATAGAAGTCCTTACACTTTTTTTTTTTTTTTTCCTTAAAAAGGAGACATTACAACACTAGAGAGAGAAGCAAAATTTAATTCTGAGCAAGGTGCAGTTTGTTTCTCTGGAGCGAGACTGGCC